TTAAGTGTTAAATTATCTGACTAATTGGCTATTTATTAAGGGTTTACTCACACCTTTCTCTGATAACCGGGTTGTTTTTAGTGTTTCTGCCATTTTATTGGGTAAGGCTGTAGACTCTACGTTGGGCGCCAATATCTTATCGTTTGATAGCTCTGTCTGATTCGGGAACGTGACGTTTACTCTCTCAGATAGATCAAATTTGTCATAAAAACAAAATGGTTAAAAATTCCTCAAAGATAACGATGATATTGTGTTTGTCGGCCAAAAGATAAATGCAATGTAGAAAATGGGAGGGGAAAATCTTGTTATTAAGCCACGCATGCGCAGCGTGTGCAAATGAGTCAAAAAATCGGAACCACCGCAGACGGCGATGTCTGATTAGAGGGAAGGCCAGACTGGTAAACAAACCGAAAAAGTTGGGAACCGGAATACGGAGGCTGTTATGCCGAAAAAAAAATTCAAATCAAACAAATTAAAAGTGGAGAGCTTACCGTTCTCTTCGGTGTATCCCCAGTGGTGGCTCATCTTGATTTTTAGTTTTTAGTTTTTCTTTAATATTATATCTCCAGTGGGGATGTTTCACTCGCGGTTGGTGGCACGCGTCTGACTTTCGCTGGGGATCGCCCGGTTTACTTTATAGGGAATATGGGAAGAGTCGGTAGAATCGGTAGAATCTCCGAATGCCTTGAATCGCGGAGCGGTGCTGGAACGTCGACTGTTTGGTTAGTCCGCCGAGTGTAGACTGACGGGCACTCGGGGCAGCGCTGCTGACTTGAAAGCCGGCGGTGACAGCGACGCGACTGCGAAGCGGACAACGGACAGCACGCACCTTGCGAGAGAGCCGGAGAGCAAGGCGTGAAAGTCGTAGAGCCAGTGAACTAAACTACTGTTTAACCCCCCAAAGCCCCCGGTTGTGGGTGCTCAGGGGGATTACGGGGTTGCGGGTTCGAGCGGTACAACTGCGGCGTCATTAGAACCGTTGACAGCGAGCCGCTGGGTTCAATAGTTTAGTTTGGCCGCACTTGAGTCCGGCACAATGGGGCGCATACGTAATGAGTTCGATTCCCAACACTTCGCCGTCCATTTGTATATTTTTTGCACTACCCATACCTGCTTGACCTTGACTCTGCATTAGGTGCTGAACGGGATCGGTGGTTAAAAAAGCGGAAATGTAAGGAAAGGCAACAATGCATAACATTAATCGATTATTGTCGAGCACGATCGATCAATTCCTGGGAGTTTTTACTGCAAAGATTAGTTATACAGATAGTAGGGAATTACACAATACTTTAGGTGCTCGATATTGAATAGATTTTTAATTAAAGTTAAGTACTCTACTTAAAAACGATATCTATATCAGATTTCTGGAACTTGAAGTTATGTAATTACAGTGGGTATAAACAGTGTGCAAAACTTTTTTATAATATTATAATATGAGCATGATTATGTGATATATGGTACCAAAAATCAGAGATATGATAGGTAACATAATCCTAATTTCTGTAGAGAAAGGTTCTAAGTGCTAAAGAATTCGCGGTTCTGGCTTAGTTAGATATGTGTTACAATAAATCAGATATATGAAAGAGAAAGTTTCTAAATGCTCAAGAATTCGCGGCTCTTAAATAGACTTGTTATTCGTTTTAGACATCTAATACCGCTGAACTTTCCACTGTGCCTAGACATTTTGTAAATTGCTCCATACATGCGGTAATTTTCTTTTTTTTCGGTTTTGTTGTTGAACTTTTGTGCATTGTTTTTGTTGCTGCTGTGGGACTTAAAGCGTGATCGCGATCGCGCGCTCGACAACGCACACAGATCTACATATTTGTACAATGTACACATATATCTCAATATATACGAGGGATTGGGGATGGGGGAAATGGGGATGGGCCTGGTTTCTGGTCTCTGGTGGTGGTGATGGCGACACGCTAATCGCAGCATTTTTGAGGGGAACTGGAACCGCTCTCACTCTCTGCATACTACTTGGCTCTACGGGAAGGTGGATTGGGACTGGTCAGGGGCAAAGGGATCCATAATTTCCATCAACGCGCTGCTCATGTTATTCCATTAGTCCATTAGGCACAGTCACCGCATCGCACGAAGCCACTTCAGCGAGTTAAGCTCGAAAATTTGTCACTAATTTCAATTCTGCGCCTCTTTTGTTTTTTCGTTTTCCTTGCACTGCATAATAGATTAAATTATCTGGTTACATGGTTCGAGAAACTTTGGTCTCCCTTCCTATTTTCGATCAGGGGCTATCGTTCTTCCTCTGGGCCAACACTGCGTATGCGCAATTTATTCGGCGCGTGTGAAATCTTCGTATGTGTTTGCATTTGGCTTAAATCTTATCGCCCACTTTTTCCCCGTGCCGAGCTTGTTTTCTAATTAGCCATGCATTATTATTTGCGCTTTACAGAGCCCCGCCCCCTGAGACCCCCGCCCATATCTATATACCACCCCCAAGTATCTCATCGACCCCAGCTCACGTGCAGTTTCTAGTCGCTCGCTTCCGCCTTTTGCCATTTCGCTCGACGCTTTTTGCAAAATGGAAATGGAAATGAAAATGGGAATGTATCTGTAGCTGGAATTTGATTTAAGCTCCCGCCTCTGACAGCCCCACTTCAAGGTCGAGTAATTATTGTTAATGGGCATTAACTGAACCCATGTGACAGGCAAAGTTTTGGGTCGGGAACGGGACCACTTAGATCGTACTAATTGGATAGGAAAAGGAGCTGATCACAAATTAGTCATAACAATTTGTACCAAGAGTAATGGTATGATTTTTTGGAGATGGTAAAAGAACCCAAAACTTAATTGATCTATTTATAATTACCTAATTAATTTATTGGTTAAAAGATATACTTTTTAATGCGTTTCAATCAGACATCATAAACATAAATCTATAAAGCTTTTACGTTTTTATTTGCGGCGGACCAACCCAATTTCTTATAATATTTCCATTTGTTAATCACATGAGATTTTTATTGCACTATAATTCAAAAACGTAAGCCACACTGGTACTACAAAAAATAAACATAAAGAAAGAAAACATAAACAACAAGAAGAACAGTAGTTTTTAGAAATAAATATTTACCAAAAAGTTGGGAGATTATTTTTGAATATTTACCTAGATAACTCTAATCTCGGGAGGTTAACGTTTTCATCGTGACTAATTAAAGAAAAACTTTCAGACAGTTCAACCAACTTTTCAAGGCAAATGCGACAATTCGTGAACTTTCTCAGTGACACAAAACATTGTGGCGCTTTTGTTAGCTAATCATCTGCCTCGATAAATAACTTTAAGAAACGACCCGATCCAAGTCCAGAATGTAGCATTGTTTGTCTTTTTTATTTCTTGTATAAAATTGGATCATGTTTATTTCTTTAAATATTTCTGGGCTAGTAACACGCGTGGCTAAGGATTTCATTTTATTCTGTTTTGCCATCAACTGTTGAGCGCTATAATTCTCTTTTTATAACGCATATAAAGTAACTGGCTGCGTGGTTTGTCAAAGATCTTGAACCCCAGTTTGTAGTTAGCTCAACTGGGATTCGGCGGAGATTTTTGGGAAATTAGCGGGGTTAAGAAATAGAGATACTCTCTCTCTATACAAAATATTTGTCTTCCTCCATACGTAAGCGCCCCCAATTAGCACCTACCAATGTGATACCTTGCAAATCGAATCAGAAATCGGGAGCGTGATTAAGTTTCCACTGAAATTGACATATTAACAAGATCAATTAGCATGAGCCTTAGAATTTTTAGCTCACACATTTACTACATACAAATACCTTTAGCCAGTAATTTTTTCCGCACAAAGCCCCATTGATTCCTACCCGATCATCTCAGTTTCGGGCAGTTTGCAGTCGGTGCGTGTTAATCGATTTATTTAAACGGCAAACAAAACAAAGCAGCACGAAAAATATCACTCCGTGTCATGTGGACACTGACTAAGGTACGAATTTTTGGCAAAAAAAACAAAACGATAAACTTGGCTTGGAATATTCCAATGGCCTCTCTTATTCAAACAAGGTATAAACTTATCCATAGCAGTGAAAATTACTTTTAAAGGCCATTAAAGGTAGAGGTGTCGCTTGATAGTTTATTACTGAAATTAATTAGCATTTAAATTAGTAATGATTGACTAGGAGTTAGACTTAGTGAAAAAGAAAGATGAACCTTATATGAAAAAGTATCACCCATTTTTAAGAAATTAAGAAAATACTTCAATTATATACATCAGCGGTCGGCACACACCTACGTTGACATTTTGTTTTATATTTGTGTGCGTAATTTGCACTGGGCAGCTTATCGTTGTGTGTGTGCAGACGTCTGTTCTACAGTATACGTGAGCGTGCAGTGGCTGAGCAGAACAAAACCCTATGCTCACTTAATAGGGCGCTGCCGACCGCTGATATACATATATTAATCAAATATATTAGATCTGACATGTTTATTTCTTTTTTATAAATAAGTTCTCCGACCCATGTTCATCATTAAAATGGCGAATTTATTTTTATTGCCTGCTAATATTTATTAATTAAACTCATTCAATATAAAGTCCCATTTTTTCTATCGAAATCCAGCAAATAAAAATCATGAAGCTTTCGCCATCATTTAAATAAATTCGACGCACATATCGCTGGTATAATAAAAATGCCATAAAAATCTGTGCCCAAAAGACTGGACATTTGCCCAGAAACTGCAAAAGAATGTACAACCAATCTAAGGCACTTAATTCTATTTGATGTAGATTTTTAAATAGGAGAGCGCGCGATTTTTTGAATTATAATATAAATTGGTTGACGTGTGACCGAAAAATAAAGATTTTTTATTATTTGGGTGAAGCTATAGATGGGGAGTATTAAATCAGATCACATACCTTGATCTTGATCTTAATATGCATGATGGGTCCTCTAAATAAGGCTTGTCCATCCCAGAACCAAACAAATTAATAAATCGCAACCAGCATTGATAATAGATTTATATTGTATATTTGAAATATATTTATTTATATAGATTTTGATTTAAATTAACACTAGCAATATACAGGCTGCACATAATGCTGGTTTAATCGGTATTTACGCTACACACTAATCGGTAATAGGTGAATGTTAAAGTGTGGTTACACCGGGGAAAACAAGATCCAAATTCGTAATCGGTAACTGAAGGAAACTATACACACGCACACATTAAAGCCTTATATAGCATACCCAATTGTAGTATGTATATATATAAAAAACAACAACATTTCTTGTTAAACCTAATAAACATTACATTCTGCCTATGTATTGTTTATAAATATAATAAAAATATATATACTCGTATGTATGATTAAGTGCCAACATAACAACAAAGCCGAGGGAACCAAAGGGTGCTCTATGAACTACGATTTGAGGGGATTTGGGGAGGCTGGGGAGGATCGATCTATTAACATGGCCGAGTCAACTAGCCAGGTGGCTGAGGCCTCTCCTCCGTGACTATTTAACGCTCATTATATTGAATACTGGACCGATGCGCATGAACACACGCCTAAGGACACTTCTCAGTTCGGGCTTGAGGTCGAAGCACATCATTTCGCACAGCAGGCTGTAGTAGTTGGACACGTGGGTGGCGAACTGAAAGGGGAATAGGTTGATTATTAAGTGATTCAAGGTATATTAAACTTGTATATTAAATTAACTTGTACCAGGATATATCAATATAATTTATAATTATTAAGGGAAAGCTAGAGTCTGGCACAAAAAATAAATCGATTTTTTAAAATTGTTTTTAATTAACATCTCAAGATTATACAAAAAAGTTTTAAGTCAATCGGACAAAAACTTTAGAATTTATGCTAAAATTAGTACCCTAACCTCTAAGACTTTAAGTACGTAAGTGCATCTGTAAGTGCGTTTTTCTCGAAACCACGTTTCGAAAGTCCGTCTTTATCGGAATTTCTAAACGGCTCAACCGATCGGTTTCAAATTTGACGCATATTTTTCTGCATAAACCCCCCCCCCTGGGAAGCGTTTTTTTATTTTGTAACTTTAAATATTTATTTTAAGCCGGAAGTCAAATTTTTTAGGTAAAAAACGCATTTTTGACTTAGGAATATCAAAAATTCTCAAAAATAAAAAAATTAAAAAAAGGGCTTCCCAAGGGGCGGGGTTGTTTTATTTCTTAAGCGAAATGGAATTCCGATCATTTTTAGCGGAGGTACAGTGAACACTGCAAAAAAAATAGTTTTCCAGAAATCGCTTTGTCACCGATATATTAGCCGATAGAATCGGCTAGAAAAATTAGTGGATGTTAATTAAATGACACTTAATAATATACAAAAGGTTTGAATTAAATCCATTTAACCAGTTTTTATAGAAAAAATCGCAAAGTTAGTCGATTTTATGGTGTTAAAGACCCTACCCCCCATCACATAATATATAAAAACTCACCCTTGCATCGGACATCTTGAGCAGTCGCGTGAGGATGAGCAGCAGCAGCGATGTCCAGGCATCTCGATGGGCCTCGCTCTGCAGACTAAGGTAGTAGCCCAGTGCCTCCTTGCAGACCTGCACCAGTTCCTGCTCGATGCCGGGCCAATCGCTGCGCCTGTTCTCATCGCCGTACATCTTGAAGAAGATGCGCAGGACGCAGGCCAGCGAAGAGGTCTCCTGCTTGAGCAGATTCGGCTTCACCGAGCCCTTGAACCCGGCCCGCCACAACAGACTGCGCTGATCATGATCCGCGTTGAAGCGCTTGGCGAAGCGGTGTGATTGCATCAAGCAATCAGCCAAAGTGAGCAGCTGTCGGGTCCTCAGATAGCCATACATTCCCTGCTCCTCCCGCTGGCACTCGAGCAGCTGCGACTGCGATCCATTCCTTCCGCCCGTCAAATCAGCAGCCGCCTGGGCCAGTGTTTCGGCATCCTCCTTTCGCGACGTCGCCGGGAAGAAGACAATGTTGTCCATGGTCTGTATCAGTTCCAGCTGCACCACACACCGAATGTGCAGCGCCTCGAAGTGGTTGTGCTCCTGGGGTGGCTGCTGGTTACTGGAATGTGCCTTCGGTCGCCAGCTGAGCAGATCCTGCGGCAGCGTGGCATTGAAGATGTCTAGGATGCACTGACACGTCTTGTCCCAGGTGGATTCGTTGAACTTGAAGCCATTGGAAATCACGAGGTTCTCCAGACAATTCGTGCCCGATCGCGCCAACTGCTCGTTGCTTTGCTGAACGCACCAATGCAACTGGGCAAAGAGTTCCTCCAGCAACAGATGTCCCAGAACATCAAAGTACTGCGTGAAGACATCGATGATAGCGTACAAGGCGTGATTGCAGGTGGTGGTCATCCACTCGGATTTCTCTGTCACATGTTCGGGCAACTTCATGTTGTCAAAGATGCGGAAGATCACATTGAACAGATCCTTCCACCAATTCGGCTTGAAGCTCTCGCCATACGTCTTAACAATCTCGAAGAGCACAGTCAGGGCGCGCGTGCGCACGTCCAGTTTGCAGCGATTGACGACGCAGGAGAGCGAGAAGAGCATGGGGAACCAGCCGCGCACCCACACGCGATCCTCCTCCGCCACCGAGGCATCGTTCTCCATGCCGGCGTGCTCCGCAAAAAGCTGCGGCGCCTCGTGGACGCACTGGGCGCAGGTTCGCACCAGGCGAATGGCCTCCATGCTCGTGTCCGGAAATCTGGCGGTGGCAAACTCGGATAAACACTTGACTGCATCCTGGAAGGAGTCCACCATAATGGCGAACTGACGCTTGTACAAATCCCCAATGATTTTGCCCGTCGTCTGGAAGGCCAGCTCCACAATCGGCTCCTCGTGATCGCCCGCCGCCAAATGGAAAATGCTGAAGATATTCTTCCAGCCGGAACGAATGTTGTGCGCCTGTGAGTTCACCATTTGGGCAATGCAACGCACCACCATATCTCGAATTGCGGGCGAGGCGTTCTTCTTCATTATGTGCTCGAAGGGTCGGAGGAAATCCTTCTGGAAGCGAAAGTTACTGAACTCGCCCTTCTCCATAAACTTCATCGACAGCTGACGCAGTGAATCCAAAGCGAAGAAGGCGATCTCCTCGTTGCTATTACAACCCACTGCATTAAAGTGCTCGCCCAGGACTTGCCAAATACGCGACCACTGCAGACGAATACGCTCCATGTTGTAGTAACTGATCTCCACTATCTTCTGCAGCGAGAACATCCGCGGTTGCTGCTGCTGCAGTTCGTCCACCGACACTTGGCACAAAGCCTTAACAAAGTCAACGATAGCATCGCCATCCAGTCGCATGGAGCCGGTGAAAATGCGATCGACGGCGACCACAACGCTCTGGCTGCTCGTCTCGCCAATGTGCTCTTTCACGCTGGGATTCAGCGAATCCTTGAGCGTGGTCTGCGCCCCGGAAAGGAACTGCGGACGCACTCCAGTGCCAATAAGTTGAGCCAACTCCAGTTGGCTAATGCACTTGACAATATCCAGCCAGCTGCTGCCCAGATAGTTGCCATCCGTGTGGGCCACCATGATGAGCGTCTTGATGGTGTCGATATTTTTGGCCTTCATCTCGTTGATCGGAGAATTGGCATTCAGCAGGGTAAATCTGGCCAAAGCCTGAACATAGGCATCTCTCTCGAGGGACATGTGAAAGATGCAGGCAATCCTAATAGCGCAACGAATGCCATCCAAGCAGAGGGTGGCTATCTCCGGATCATCGCAGTCCTGCAGACCCACCGAAAAGGCGGCGAGGAAGGGAGTCCAGGCCATCTTAAACATGGGACGCACATGCTCCAGATGCTTGGCGGAGGTAAACGGCGACTTTACATGCGAAACGGACTGCATGAGATTGGTGGCCGTCAGCGAGATGACCTCCATCTCCATGTTCCACAACAACTTGCGACGCTTCTCCGTGATGAAGGGCTGCTTGCCAGCGGGTTTCGCCTGCTGCAGCATTCCCGAGTTGTTCTTCATCTTGATCTCGTGTTCGGAAATCTCATCGTAGATGGAGGATAAATACTCCTCGGGCAAATCGGACTTGCTGTCACTGATGCCGCGATTCATTTTGATATACTGCTCCTTGGTCATCTTGTGCTTGACCTGCGGCGAATGGAGATCCGTGGTCAGCATGATGATGCTGAAGGCGAGAACGTAAACGGTGTCGGCACTTTGGAATAGCTGATTCTGCGGATTGCATTCGCAGTATCTGCTGGCGAACTTCTCCATCAGTCGATCGATTTTCTGCGCCTCTCCCGGCAGGCGGAACTCCTCGAGGAGAATTCGCAGAGCGGCCACAACCTCCAGTTGTCGAAAATCGAAGGCATCGATGTAGGCGCACATCACCTCCTTGGAGTGATCGTCGTTTTCGCCCAGATAATTGCCAATCACCGTCTTGTCCAGTCGCTCGTCCTCGTGCAGCCAGCGGGCAATGTCCTGGCACGTACCGCCCAGCAGCTGCTTCTCCTGCAGAAACTGCACGCCCTTCTGCGGCTTCCGATTGAAGAGCTCGATGCCCGTTTCCATCACCTCCTTGCGCATCTTGCGCTCCTCCAGCGCCTCGGGCAGATCCTGCAGCTGCTCCTGATTCGAATTGAGACTGTGGCTCGAGCCGCTGTGCATGGTTTGAATTGTGGTGTCCGCTTGATCGTAGGTCGTAGGCGATTGAACTTGAGCCGGAAGAGCGGGAACCGGCATATTGGGATTGACATACAAATCCTTGCTCCATTCCACCATGCATTTGAGGATGGAAACGAGACACTCTAGGCCGCGTATCCGCATAGACTTCTCCTGCATCGGATTGGCGCCCAGTTCGAGGGCCTGGCGACCCTGGGCAATCTTGGAAAGATCGTTGACTAGTCGCTCGAAGAGATTGGCCGCCGAAAAGTCGCAATCGTAGTTCACATAGATATCCACCACGGACTGGGCATCGGCGCAGATCCGCGTCAGCGCTTGGATCACCATCCACTTGTGCTCGAAGCTGCTCGAGTTGGCTTCGAGGATGTTCAGGAAGATCTCCTTGAAGAAGACCTCGATTTGGCGCTTCAAATGGACCTTGAAGTTGGATAGCAGGGCCACGAATATCGAGAGCGACAGCTCAAAGACCTCCGGCACCAGGCTCACTCCGTTGTTGGACAAAGCCACGCACAAATACTGCTTGATGGCCATGATGAACATCTCGTTGGAGCGGAAGACTGGCCCGGCATTCTGGAGAATCAACAGCAGCAGGTGCAGCGACAGCACCTTGGAGCGCAGCTCGTGCGACTTGGGATCCGGATGTCCCTCCGGCAGGGGCTTCATCGATAGCTTGCATAGCGCCCGGAACACGAGAAAGGCGTCTTTTTGCAGAATGTGCGTGAACTTGGCGGTGACCACTGCATCATTCTCGCTGTGCAGCTCCACACTGTCGTGATCCGAGTGCGAGGAGTAGTCGTTCCCGTTGACTGCCGCTTCTGGTTCTCCCACCGATTCCTGATCCTTCATGGCCTCATTGTAGGCAGCTAAAAAAAACGAAATCGTCATTAATCTTGCGCAATAATAAATGGGCACGCGGGAGGAGGAGTGGCAGTTTATGTTGCACCTTATCGTGAAAATTACTATGTATGAGTCACACAAAAATTTCCTTTCGATAAGTGGGTTTCTTTGATTGGATTTTAAATTTAAGTCGATTAGAAATCAAAATTGAAGAATTGCTGATATGAGTTCTGAATTATTATTTTGAATTTTTTGTTTTATAAGAATGAATTAATTAGAATTTTGAGTTTAATTAAATTGAATCAATTTGAATTTTGAGTTTAATAGAATTGAATTAATGAATGGCATGAATTCCGAAATAATTCAAACGACAATTTCTTTTAAAGAAGAAAGGGCCATAATTTTGTGATTAAATCTGCCTGAATTTTATTTACTAAGCAGTTAACATTGATTTCTTAAAAATGTTCGACTTTTTGTTCTCAAAAGAATACACAAAAATATCTGACAAATTCAAAAAATTCATAATAATTATTCATCCATTCAATGAATTAGAAAAACATTCAAATTATTTCACATAGAATTTCACATTGAATAGAATTAAACAAATCAGTCATTTCATGGCATACTATGATGAAACAAAAATTGAATGATTCAAGCAGGGCTCTAATGTGATTTAAATTAAATCATTTAATAGTATAAATAAAGGATAATTCTCATCTAGAAACATTAAATCTGCCTATTATTCTCCCTCCACCCTCGACAAACGCACCTGATATGATCTCAGCCAGCAGCTCCGAGGCAATGACTTCGTCGGAATCCCCCGGCGGCTCCTCCACCGAGCCATTGCAGTCCTCCGAATGGATGCTGCCGTTGATGGGATTGGAATTGGAATTCGGAGGCGGCAGCTCGTACACCTGGTTCTCCATGCGCGCAAAGATCACGTTCAGCATTTGCGTAAGCGTGGCGCGCGCTGTGGTCTGATTGACCAGGTTCTTGCTGGACAAGTAGATGTCGTAGCAGGTGCGCACCGCCTGGAGCAGCGTGAACTCGTGGATCTCGACATGCTGCGAGGTGACCACCGTGAGCAGCGCCTTGATGATCTGCAGCTGGACACCCTCATCGGTCTGGGGACCACTGAAGCAGCCATAGATGGTCACCACAATGCGATCGATGAGCAGGTGACCGGGATTCGCGGAGTCCTGAATGGAGCCCGTTAAATGGCCATAGGCAATTAGCTTTTGCAGGCAATCCAATGCGGTGACCACGATGCGCGGCGAGCGGCTTTTGCAGGCCAACTCGAAGGGCAGAAAGTAGGTCTCCGCATTGATGATGCTCGAGGCATCGTTCTTGGGCAGCGGAAGTGCGGCGCAGGGCAGCTCGTTGCCCTCCGCGATCTGGCCGGCGCTGATTAGCTCCGCCTTGATCTGCTCCAGCGCCGAATCGCAGGACTTCTTCAGCTGCGAGTTCTGGGAGCGCCGTATGTCCTTGTCGGCAAGGATCTTCTCGAGAGCACGCACGATGAACATTTCCTTGGTCTTCGTGGAGTTGTTGTGCATATTCCCCAAGGTCGCCTCCGCTGGGTGGGTGGGTTTCAAAGCCTCCTCCTGCTGCTACCTCTCCTCCTCCTCCTCCCCACTTGGTTTCTCCTCCTCTTCCGGAAACGACAGCCACGCAACTTTCGCTGCTGCCTGCTGGTTGCTCCGCCAGCTGTGCGGAGTCCTCCTCTCGGTTGGTTCGGTCGTCTGGCGGCACTCGGCGAGTCTTTAGCGTGTCGTGGCCGTTTGCATGTTGCAAATCTCTCAGTTTTTCCACATTAAAATATACGCTTCAAAATACAATGCGAAAAAACGTCATCAGAAGTGTGACCGTGAAGGGGGAAAATTACTGGGGTGGCGACGGTGTTGGAAAGTGTCTGGTATTTTTTTATGTTTAGTATTTTTCTATTCAGGTGGGAGAGACTGGTATCACTGTTATTTGAATTTATTTAAGTGATAACAAAATTGTATGTTTCCGATTATATTAAAATTAGGTAAATAGAAAGAACTACTTTTGAATAATTATACCGGTTACTCGTAGAGTAAAAGGGTATATTGTATTCGTGCAAAAGTATTCCGACCCTATATATATTCTTCATCAGGATCAGTAGCCGAGTCGATATAGCCATGTCTGTCTGTCCGTCTGTCTGCCTGTCTGTCCGTCCGTATAAACGCTGAGATCTCGGAAACTACAAAAACTAGAAGGTTGAGATTTCCCACACATATTCTTGGGCTATCGCAGCGTAAGCTTATTTCAGCCGAGCGCCACGCCCCCATCTAACGCCCACAATCGCCCACTAAAGATTTTAAAATGTGTCTGGCGCCCACACCTTTAAAGATTTCCGAGAAGTATAAACACAATTTTGTTGTGTATATTTATACCTATCGAAATGTAACGAGAGACGGCTATTAGAACCCGATTATAGCGTTCTCTCTTGTTTTGAAATAATATAAATAACCGTTACGAAGCTAAAATAATTAATTAATATATATCTACTTTTTGAGGGCTCCGCTTTTGGGTATTGCCCACTGTGCATGGGACAACTTTTTGAAAAAACAGGAAATCGAGTAGGCTATGCCTGTCAAAATATTTTGGTCTTAACTTTTGAGGAGCAATAGATTCAGTTCACTCCAGGATTTCCAAGCGACACAAGCTATCCGAGCATAAAAAATATTTATTAAAATTATCAACTACCGAGGTTTCTTCAAAATTGTTGTGCGACGTTAATTTTTACAAAACGGTATTAAAAAGTGCTGATATAGGTAATTAAAATAAAACTAAGATATACACTAAACATTGTGCATTACAAAAAATTCAATCTAGTAATCCATGACTGCCAAAACCTTATTGTCATAATCTTATGTCGGCAAAACTTTCAGTTCACTCTAGGATTTACCAGAAACACAAGCTACCGAGCAAAAAAACATTTATTAAAATTATCAACTACCTAATTTTCTTCAATTGTTGTGCGACTTAAATTATTACAAAACGGTATCGACAAGTAAATAAAACAAATTTAAATATACACAACGAAACATTGCAGAACAAAAAATGTAATCTAGTAGTCCAGGACTGTCAAAATATTATTATCTTATGAACTTTCAGTTCACTCTAGAATTAACAGGCTATGCCTGTCAAAATATTTTGGTCTCAACTTTTGAGGAGCAATAGATTCAGTTCACTCCAGGATTTCCAAGCGACACAAGCTACCGACCACAAATATTTATTATTACAAAGTGTTGATATGGGTAATTAAAACAATATATAAATGCAGTACAAAAATCAACCTGGTAGTCCACGACTGCTTAATTATTCTTGTCATAATCTTAGAGCAGCAGTTCTTTCAGTTCACTTTAGGATTTACCAGAGATGCAAGCTACCGAGCACAACAAATATTTATAATTATCAACTGCCTAGTTTTTTATTTTAACTCATTATAAATATAGGTATTTTAAATATAACGTAAAGGACTTGGCATTAAAAAAGGCAATCTAGTCTAACAGCAATACATTCAATTCAATTTAAGATTTTTTAGAAAACTAGGCAATAATGTAAATTATTAAACATTAAAATTAAAATGTATTAAAATGTATTTTCAATAGCTAAAGGGATCGACCTGTGGACGGAAGACACCGGCAGAGTTCAGCAGCCCCTGTCACTGTCCAGCGGAGCGATGGGGTCGACTGCCTGAAGCAGGAGGATCAGGAGCTGCTCTTCTCGCCCCAAGCATTTGATCTCATCTTCTCTGCTGGACAGTGACCAGGACTAGGTCACAATGCAGTCTAGAAGATCCGAGATCAGGAGTGCACGAATGGCATGAACCGAGAAGCTTGCTGACCAGATCCCAGGAGTCCATGATATCTACGAATTAACCCGATGAGGCATCGTAAAGAATTTCCGCGTGACAAGAATATGACAACAGCAGCTATATGAATTTCCGAAGGGACCTACCATCGTCCAGCGGGGCAGATGGATCCCATCTTATAGCACTTGAATAACAGGAGTGACATAAACCGAGAAGCATACTATATCCTTATTGGACGTGACGAGATCCGATATCTAGGAATTCAAGAAGGTAGAAGACTCGATGAATACATAATAACTGAGGCTGGGACTAACCCCGGAGCAACACGAATATTGGACAACTGGAGCTATTTGGATTTCCGAAAATACCAAGATCTTGCCAATGGCAATGAACTGCACTAGCGAAGCAGGAGGATCAGGAGCTGATAAATAGTTTTCCTTTTCTCAAGGAAGAAAAGGAGGAAATAGACAAATACAATGGTCTCGAGCCGTTTGGAAATTAGGCTCCTCCCTTCCATCGTCCAGCGGGGGAGATGGGGTCAACTGCCTGAAGCAGGACAATCAGGAGCTGCTTCTCTCGCCCCAAGCAATTGATCGCATTCTTCCCTGCTGGACAGTGACTAGGACAAATTCATAATGCAATCTAGAAGATCTGAGATCAGAAGAGCATGAATGGCATGGTCCAAAAACCAAGCATTTGAGACCCGTGAATTGGGAAAAATCTTGTGAAAAGCGTCTTAAGGAAGAAGATATTAAATTAAGTGGGATTTTCGACGGGACCTGAAGACTTTCTAACAATATGCTTAATGAGCTGCACCAATAGTACTCCAGTAGTATATTTTTTTCAAGCAAGATGTTCAGGAAAAGGAGGAAATAGACAAATACAATGGTCTGGAGCCATTTGGTAGTTCATCTCGTCCCTGCCATCGTCCAGCGGGGGAGATGGGATTAACTGCCTGAAGCAGGAGGATCAGGAGCTGCTCTTCTCGCCTCAAGCATTTGATCGCATCTTCCCTGCTGGACAGTGACTAGGACAAATTCACAATGCAGTCTAGAATATCTGCGATCAGGACAGCACGAATGGCAAGAACCAAGAAGCAAGAGACCAGTGGATTGGGAGAAGTCTTATGAAAAGCGGCTTAATGAAGAAGATATCAAATAAAGTTTTTTATTTTCGTCGGGACCTGAAGACTCTTCAATGATATATCGCCGAATACCGGCGAGACCATTGGCAGGGGCAGCTTATGGCCGGAGATAAGCCGCTGGCTCGGCGAGCAATATATATTCAACTGAACAAAAAACAAGAAAGGAAGCTACCTTCGGCCAGCCGAAGCTTATATACCCTTGTAGAAAGAATACTCACTCGGTGCAGTTCCAGGGATTCCAGATTCAGCGTTTCGATTTATTTCAATTTTGTTTTTAAGTAGTCAAGAATTAAAACGCCTACTTCCTACAAAGTTACAATGAATTTTCTTATATTTGTTTGGGAGCCTTAAGATATAGTGGTCCGATCCGGCTGGCTCCGACATATGTACTACCTGCAATAGAAAGAAGACCTTCGGGAAAGTTTCATCGCGATAGCTTTAAAACTGAGAGACTAGTTCGCATAGAAACGGACAGACGGACAGACGGACATGGCTAGATAGACTCGGCTATTGGTGCTGATCAAGAATATATATACTTTATGTGGTCGGAAACGTCTCCTTCACTGCGTTGCAAACATCTGACTGAAATTATAATACCCTCTACAAGGGTATAAAAACTCTGAATAATATATATTGCTCCTAGTGCTCCCTCGAGCCGATATATTAATCCCTTATCTGAGTGCAGAGCCCTACCTGAAAAGACTACTGCTCAGGAAGATCAGTACATTCCCACATTCAAAAGCGTGCTCTTCGACGATGGAGACTCCGGAATGAAAGCCTTTACGGGTCCCTATTTGAGACACAATTTAAGAGTATTTGGATCGGTGCAGTTCCTATGATTTTGGATAAATTATTGTTAAAATACATAAAAAAAAAATAAAATAAATATATTTAACAATTATTTTACACTCAAATTTAATTCTTAGGGCGGAAGAAGCGTTTATGATACTACCAATTTTTAAATTTAATTATACCAGTTGAAAGTTGGTTTTAATAATGTAGATTCTTGGGCTTCCTACGCAGCGCAAGTTTGTTTCATCGAGGTGCCACACCCCCCCTAACGCCCACAATCGCCATAAACGATTTTAAAATGTGACTGGCGGCCACTTCTTTTAAGATTTTAAAAATGTATAAATGCAATGTTATAGTGTTTATTAATACCTATCGAAATGTAGACATTTTTCAAATCGGACCATTCATTAAAAAGTTAAGCGCAATCAAAGTTTTATATCTCCATCTCCCTCGCACTGCTAGCTAAGTGACGGGTATCAGATAGTCGGGACACCAACCCGACTATAGCGTTCTCTCTTGTTAAACATTTATTGTTTTATTGTATTAATAACAATCAGAGATCTATGTTTTTATTGATACAGATAATTTTTAAATGTTGTTGGATTTATTTATACTTGTGTATTTTTAAGTGCACGTATCATATTTTATTTTATTAATAGTTCATTAATTTCAAGTCCTACATACATTTGTAATTATTTTAAAAAATTTTAAGAACAATTTTTAAAAAAATTTGGATGTTCTTCATTTTTTAAAAACAAAACCAATTTTGCACTGTTAAAAAAATACGTAATTTTTATATATGTACAAACATTATAAAAATAAATGTTTATTTTTCGTGAAAGTTTAGGTACAATTAAATTAAAGATAAATGTCCAATTCGTAAGAGGTGGGTGAAAACATTAAATGCTACGGTGGGAATTAACTAAACGGCTATGCTATAAATTCCAGTCTTTTGTCGGGACATCCGCCATAAAGAGGACGTTCTCCATGTTTTTTTCCAGCAGGCTGGCGTACTTCTCCGTCACCGCAGCTCCTTCGGCTGTGAAAAGTCGAGACGGCGACTCCGCGGTTGCCGGAATGTGCAGGTACCTTTGGGCCACGCTGTGCAGGAAGGGATGAGCTGCCGCTAGCTCCTGCCAAATACGACAGGGATCCGCCTGCAGGGTGCTTATGCTAGCGCAGAAGTAAGTGGCTATCTCATCATCGGCATCGGGGCCATTAGTCCCATTAATAAGCCGCTGCTTCTCGTGGGAAAAGGATTTGTAGGCGGCCCAAATGTCGAAGTTATCCTGGGCAACAGGATCTTCACCCACAATTGCCTCACCGCTGTCCACATGCGCCTGCATCCAGTCATACAGCTGCGTCATGTATTTGGCCACCAGGGCTCCGCTTTGGAAGGGAATATTTCGAAAGCGCGGATCCAGCAGAGTGGCCATGGAAACGTGCAAGTTTGCCTCCATTTCCTCGAAATTATTTACCATATGCTGCACCATAAACAGGCGCAACTCCTGGATAACCTTGTGCTCGGCACTCTTCTCCTGCTTTAGTTCGTTGATCAGGGTGTGGGCGATGGGCAGGGCAGTACTGGCCGCTGGATATTCCGTTCGACTAAGCTCGCGCATGGAGCTGGTCAGGGGTCGCAGGACGTCCAGCAATTGCTGACAGAGATCAGTCTCCGCCGGCGAAAGAGGAAGCGACTCTTCCAAATGAATGGCGGAATGTTTCAGGTACATTTCTAGCATTTCATAGCTGCTAAAGGGTCGCTTAATGTTATCCAGCTGGAGCTTATGAACTCCTGCTTCTAATGTAGCCTCTACATAACGACGCACCTTCTCGCAAAGGCCCCTGATCTCGGGTCGCAGCAGCACAGCCTCCAAGAGAGCTTCCAATTGGTCAGCGAAGCACAGCACATGATGTTCGGCGCCCAGAAACAAGCTGACCGCCTCCTCCAGCAAACTACAGCTCCTGGTCGTCACGCAGGTGATCTTCGACTTGAGGATGTCGAAGCGCTGACATACACGCTCCAAGCGCTCCACTACTTGGCTGGAAGTCAAAGGATCGGGAAGGCTCTGCACGGAGAGCGTTCGAGAGATTCTCTGCCGTCCCTCTTGAAAGTGGGCCACCAGCTCCAGCCAGCTTTGACCCGCGGAATTTGTGTGCATGGAGCAACTCAGACTGAGTGTGGAGGTTTTGTTCAACTGATGACGGAGCTTGGATCTCTGTAGTTCCGACTCCCTTCCGATGATGGCTTCCAGGTCCGTCACACTTGGTGGCTTGTAGGTGGGGCAGAGGACCTTCATTAGGTGCTGGAATCCCTCGCCCTGAAGAACCTGCAGCGGCTGACGATCGCGACAGATGAAAAAGGCCATGTCCTGATGGAAGGAACGTAGGTTTGGCAAGGGTGATTCCTCTTTAAGGTTGCTGCAAGAAGTATAGGTCGTATACATATTATAAAATTTGAGTTCCCAACCATATACACTTCCACTTTAAATTTGAAAAAAAAATGGATTTTAATTTACATAATGGGCTTTTCTTTTCACTTTTCCCAAGCTCTATTTTGTGTTAAAATATTGATTTTGGACCATTTTTAGTTTTTAAGATATCGTTAAAAAACTCGCTCGGGACAAAAATATAAGTGGATTTTAGGAAATTCCATTCAACGCCAGAATTTAGCGAATTCTGATGGAATATATGAATGCAACATTTTTCTTATCGTTTTGTAAAGTGTATTTCTTTACCTCTATCCCTCAATTACTGGCTGTTTTGCTTTTAACTTAACAGTTTAATATGTAAATGAAGCATTTAGTACAGAAAAATGTCACATATTAGCATTCCTAAATGATAAATTAACAACTGAAGACAGGTCCAAGAAATAACAAAATAATAGCCAAAAACTAATTTTTGCGTATATTGGTGGGGAATGTCATAAATATAATCAAACTATACTCCAAATTTTTAGTTAGGCTCAGGATCAAACTAATTCGAAACTAATATTGGGGCAAAATCATTTGGAAAAATATGTTTTATTCAAGTTAAAATTGTTTGGCTTGGTGGACTTTTTGGTGGAAGTGCCCATATATTAAAGTTATGACTTACTTAGCTTCAGGAACTGTTACATCTTGGTGAATTGCATTTCTATCTGGCTCTTCGGTCTCTTCCTTTGGCTCGTACTCGATGATGTCCTCGGCGCTGACAGTCTCTGTTCCAGAAATCGCTGCCTCCGGCGTGACCCACGCATATCCAACGCTCTGCACGGAGATGTGATCCTCCAGGGTCGTTTTGGTGAGTCCTTGAGCCTCCATTTCGATGATATCGCCCGCATCCTTGGCCGCCTTGAAGAGCAGCTCGCTGTGGAAGTCGGAGCTCTCCTCCTTGAAGGGCAGCACCTTCCGCAGCCGCCGCTTGTGGTCATCCTGATCCCGCCGCTTGTATATGCCCCGCACCACCACCGTTTCGTCGTCGAAGAGATCTCTGTGGGAATGGAATTGGAACTTGAGAAAAGGCGCCTTGGAATCTCGGACCATCCTACACTTGCGGATGCGTCTTCATGTGCTTCATCAGATTGGAGGTGTTGCCGCATGTCTTGATGACCTTCTCGCACAGCTGACACAAGGCAGAGTTACGATCCAGCTTGTCATAGTACTTCCATATCTTGCTACGCGACATTATAATAATAATAATAAACTACAATAAAATGTAAATATTAGCCAAATTGGTGTGGCCATTTGGTAGGTCGTCAAATAATTTCACACTAACGCCTTCTAGTACAAGCAGTTTTCCGCTGCCTTTGGTATTTTTAAGTTATGGATTTCATAAAATACTAAAAGTACAACGCGCGTAAATTTAAAATGTAACACTAGCTTACAAAGTAATACTCTTGAAGTGCTCCCCAGAAATTCGTGGCAAATTCTGTTAGTGTTGGAGCCCTAGATCACGCAAATAACACTAATTACTCAAATTTGGACTTTGTCAAACGAAAAAAGAGGAATAATTCTACCTTTAAAAATTCACCATATATCCAATTTTCCATACATTGGGGCCAAAACTTCAAGTTGGTAAGCATTGTGATTTTTCAACGGATTTTGTCTGTAAACTAGTGTTATCAAATTCCGATAAAAAATATAACGATTTTACACTGAAAATTATCCACTAAGCAATTAAAGGTTAAGTAAAACATTTAAAATATAATATAGATAATAATATATCCAATGCCTGCATTTTAAAAGTCCGTTTTGTCCGAAGGACTTCAGTTTCCAGTGCCATTTTCTTTAAATTAATTTAAGTATTGTATACTAGCGTTAATATGACAAAATAAAATAAAATAAAAAAAAGTCCGTTAGCGTGTATTTCAAAATTATTTGTTTATTCTTCTTATTTTTATATTTAATATTAAATATGTTAATATATGTTAAGTTCATGAATCCTGCCGACAGCCCTAAGCACAATCGACCGCCGTCGAGAGGATTACCCTTTTTAGGGGGTAAAGAGATTCTTAGAGGAAAATGAATACTGGTCGAGAGACGAGCTAAGTGGAATTTATACAGATGATAGATGGTGTCGCGGAAATGAAGGCGTGCCTGATTCCCCACGACGGCAGTCTTGTACTCATACTTAGTGATATTGCCACCTGCCAACTTATACATAGTTTCCAATTTCCATACTTCGTTGCACGGAGCTCTGACGTGACGTTGCTTTTGACTGTGACTCCTTCTCGTACTTGAGAAAAATATCCTCCAGTGTGCACTCGTTGACAGAATAGTCTGCCACGAGGTCACTCAACCGATCGGCCAGATAGTCCTCTGATATTTTGAAGACGTCCGACCAGAGGACTATGTTCTCCTGGGTGCTTACGAAGTAGGTTAGGGTGCCGGCATGGTTCTCACGCATTTCCAGTCCAGCGAATTGTGATTTCAGAGTGCCTGTAATAGTGCTCACATTCTCCTCTGTTTCGGTGTCCTCCTTCATTTTCAGCTTTATGGTAAAGCCACTTAATCGCTTAAGGGCACAGATATTGTTCAGACACTTGAACTTGCCATGGGCCATGATGGCCAAGCGATTGCACAGCTCCTCGCACTCATCCATGCTGTAAGAAAGGTATATTTTAAGATCTGGTTATAGCCTATCATAGCTTATAGCAATTTTTGTTTTATCATAGTATGCCATAAAATTTCTAATTTGTTTAATTCAATTCTATGTGAAATACAATAAATGTTTTTCTAATTCATTTCGAATTGAATGAATGAATGAATAATTTTTATGAATTTTGTGCTTTCTTTTGAGAACAAAAAGTGTAAAATTTTTAACAAATCAATATTAACTGCTTAGAAAATAAAATTCATGCAGATTTAATCACAAAATGATGGCCCTTTCTTCTTCAAAAGAAATTGTCGTTTGAATTATTTCGGAATTCATGCCATTCATTCATTCAATTCTATTAAAGTCAAAATTCTAATTAATTCATTCATATAAAACAAAAAATTCAAAATAATCCATTGAATTCATTCATGCAGGGCTCTACTTCTTACCTATGCGACGTGAGCACCACCGTGCGGTCCTGTCCCTGAAAGTCCTTGATGCACTGCCAGAGAAACCGTCGCGAGATGGGATCCACGCCGGTGGTGGGTTCGTCCAGGAGCACCAGTTTGGGCGCTCCTATCATGGCCATCGCCGCCAAAAGCTTGCGCTTGGTGCCGCCCGAATAGTGACGCACTTGCACCTGCTGATACTTGGTTAAATGCATCTTCTCCAGCCAGTACTTAACGTGCTCCTTGACGCTGCCTGCTCCCTCGACGTTGTTGCTCAAGCCACGCAGCAAAGCCATGTAGTGTAGACACTGCTCGGCGGTCATGAACTTATTGAGAGCATCGTACTGCGGACAGTAGCCGAAGCGGTGGCGATAGGCCACCTCATCCTGACGAATTTCAATGTTATCAATGCGAATGGTGCCATTATCCAGTGGCAAATTGGCGGCTATCATCTGGAACGTACTCGTTTTGCCCGCTCCATTTACGCCTAGAAGACCAAAGCATTCTCCTTGGGCGGCTGCGAAACTCAGTCCGTCCACAGCTACCGTTTCGCGGTAGTTCTTGCGAAGATTGCTCACAATCAGTGGATAACCCAGCGAAGGCTTCTTAATGAGATCCTCAACCCGTTTCTCCTCCTGGGCACAATCATCAATTTCCGAAATCGGCGTAGGGGGAGCAGTGCCCGTCTTTTTCTTCGGTAATGTCCAGTTCCAGATGCCATTATGCAACCGTTGACGCAAATATTTGTGCTCCAGCACGACGGTGAAGAAAGCCATGACCAGGACACACACCGCGATGGCATAGACAAAGAAGGTTTCCTCGCAAAGCAGATTCTTTATCACACCCGCACGACGACGGGCAATAAAGTTCTCGTTGACGATGCGCAACTGGTGGTTCAGATTAAAGTCCGGCAGGAAGCACAGGAAGGCGATCTTGGTTTCGTGCAGTTTCATGGCCGCCGCATTGCTAGAGGTGATCAAAGGGGCAATGGCTATAAGAAAGAAACACATTCTAGCAACAGTTATAATTATTTATGTTAAGTATTACCCGAAACAATCAGCATCAGCAGCAAATAGGTGGATATCGTTGAAATAGACTTGAAGTTGTTTCCCAAAGCATACAAAATGGGCAGGTAGCTGCAGCAGTAGAAGAAGTTGCTCAACACAATGATCCTTAGATCCGCGACAGAGTAAAGTTCAGCGGGCATAACCAAATATTGCAATATGAAAAGCGCGACGCAGACAAAAATCAGTAGCAGCATATCAAAGGCGAAGTGAGACAGCCAATAAGTAAATCGCGACATCGTCTGCAGCTGGCGGAATCCATTGGCGTATTCCCGGAACGGCAGCGAGATGAAGTAGAACATGAAGAAGAACATGCCGACGGACACGATGACGGCATAGTATTCCAGGCGGGAAGGACTTATGTCGCTAACGAATCGTCGAATGGGCACGTAGGTCGTATCAATATCCCCCTCCTGACGCTCCATCTTCAGCATCGACGAGTCCACCAAGTTAATGAGCTCCACTGAGCTGTGATAGCGATTGCCCGAGTAAAAAATCTCTATGACTGGCGTATCCGCAGTGCCACGCCCACCGCCGTACATGTCGATGATGCCTATCACCTGTTCCAGAAAGTCAGCCAGGTTATCGCGTTGCAAGTCGAGGGATTCTACGGAACGCAAGTATTAATAAAATAATTAAAATTCCTAGCACGACATGGAATACCCACCATTTTTCACATCATTGCTCCCGCGCAGCTGCAATGTTTTCGCCGTAATGCCGAACAGTTCTATCTGCTGACGCAGCTGCTGCTCCACCTGGGCGTGATGGCCCGTCGGATTGTGAATGTAAATAATGCCTCCGCCCATCTGGCTGAGTTTCAGCGGCAGCGCCTCCTCGTTCTCCACTATGGACATGGCGTGCATGACGAGTATGGCCCCGCAAACGCAAACAAAGGGTATGGAAAGCTGGCGGGAAGGAAGAGAAAAGCGGAAACTATATTATCTCTATACTATAAAGCAAATAAAGATTTATAACCCCTACCATTATCAGGGTATATAACCATTCATTGGTGATAAAGGTCCACTTTTTGTAAAAGACTGCCATCCAAAGTTGTAAAAGACTCGGTTGCATCGGCTGACTGGGTAATCTTTTATAGGGCGTAAGAAGCGGTGCATCATTTCTGGAGCCATCTGGAGTGTCCACTTGATCCTGCTCACCGGCACAACTGCAAAATATTATTATGTTTATATTAAAATATATTTTAAGAATTAAAATATGTATTTATACCGTAGGAAAACATCCTCCAAAGAAGTATCCGTCATGGAAATGGTACTTATGCCCAGCTGATTCGTTTTCGTCTCCAGTTTGTGTAGCATTTCTGCAAAGCACTTTTTATAGGCATACGGCAGGCAAATATACACAGTGGGCTTCACCACATTCTATTTAAAGTTTAAAGATAAATTAAGCACAAGCCATAAAAATAATTAATTTAGAATCTTACCAAAACTCGGGCTGTCGGTACAAAGTCGTGGATTATTTCCATTATTTCGTTTTCGCGGAATGTAAAATCGTTGACTTCCAATTTCAAGCGATAGCCGATGCCCGATTTGCGCTTCAATTCCAAAGGAGACCCGGTGGTTTGTAGCTTGCCATTGGCCAGTATGCAGATGGTATCGCCCAGCACCTCGGCCTCCTCCATGTAGTGGGTGGTCACCAGAATGGCCTTCTCCTTGCGCAGATTCAAGAGGATGTCCCACAGTTCTCGCCGTGAATTTATGTCCAGTCCGGATGAGGGCTCGTCTAGGATTACGATTCTGCGAAAGTAGATACCAATTTTTAGTAGGATTTAACAAAATAAATGGTTTACAAAGTTTACTTGGTGTTTCCCGCAATGGCGATGCCCAAAGATAGTCGCCTCTTCATGCCTCCCGACAAATTCCTTCCGAATTCGTCTCGCTTGTCGCCCAATCCCAGTTTCCTCAGCTTCTCATCCGCCCAATCGCGGGCATCGCAGCGACGAGCTCCACGCAGCTGGGCAAAGAACTCCAAGTGCTGGTGACAGGTCATGTAGCTCATGAACACACTGTGCTGCGGACAGAAGCCGATCAGGTGGCGATAGGAGGCCACATCGCGCTCACTGCACACGATTATCTTGCCCGAATCCTTTGGCACCAGTCCCATTATCATGTTCATCATCGTGGTCTTGCCAGCTCCATTGTGTCCCAGTAGAACAGTTATCTCCTTGTTGTTGATCGTCATATTTAGATTGTCCGAAATTAGCGTTTCGCGCTTACTTGTCTGGAACTTCTTGCACAACTCGGTGATTATAATGGCTTGGGCGCCGCGCGGCGCAGTCGTGTATTCATTGCGTTGTCGTTTTTGGTACGTCTTGGGCTATAAATAAAAATTAGGGTTTAAAATGGGATATTTACCATAATAAAGAACATACCAATCACTCGAACCGTAAACGAAACCGTGCGTCGCCCGATTTAACCGATTTTTGCAACCGTAAACAATAAAGAAACTGAAATAAAATGTTGCAATTCGAAAAATGTAGGTTTTTACCGGAAATAAAGGATTAAAACAAGCAACCGTTTGATAGAACCATTAATAAAATTATAATAATCAAGGATCTTCTTATCCCGACGTTAATAATGACAAGAGTAGAGGATTGAAACCGCGCTCAGCCCGAAATTAACCGATTTTTGCAACCGCAACCGTTAAAGAAACTGAAATAAAATGGTACAATTTACCAATTTAAATAAAAGTACCGCCGACGTTGATAAGGACGAGATAAAAATAGAGGATTTGCAAACAATAACCCGAGAGATAAGGAATGTAAACAGAAGCCCGAGAGAAAAGAAGATGAATGTAAACAAGACGATTTCCAATTAACGATGGGAACCACAAAACGATAAGGAAACTATAAGCGAACTTGCGAACTGCATTCCGAGACCGATATTTAAATTCACACATACTTACATCTAAGAAAAAGAAAATTGGACGCTTCAGACCACCGGGACCAGGAAACACACAACCCAAGTAGTTGTAAAGCAGGGCGTACAAAAAGGCTTGGAAAACAAGAACCACATAGACCCAAAACATCCTAGAGCAATCGTATTTGATTTCCCGAAAAAGATCCGCAGCACCAAATTCGCGATCTACAAAGCCGAATAAATATTATTGAAGCTACATCCTAAAAGTCAGCTAAAAACCTTACGCTTATTAGAGAACGTTTGGAATATATCCAATCCCTCGAGGAAGGCATTGGTGCTAAGAAACACAAAGGCCACCGATGTGGCCCAGCTTCTCACAAATGAGAAGACATAGGGAATGATTAGCATCACCAGGCCGCCAATCTTGGCATAGAAAACTGCAGAGAATAATAAGAAATAGTAAATATAGAACAGATACCTAAGGTTTTTAGTTACCTGAGTGGAAACAAACAGAGATCAGATAGGCGTACGACATGGTGGACAAAATGTAAAGCAGAAACAACACCGCCACATAAGCGAAGCAGATCAGCCCCAGTGCTTTGTACAGGTAAGCAACGACCAAGACAATAATAATCAGCGCCGTATAGCAAACGAATCGAATGAGAAAGAAGGTGAGGCCGTTGAGAAAACTCATGGGAGTGACCAGGTTCAAAAACTCCTTCAGTCCGTTCTGTTTCTCCTCCACAAAGGGCACCACAAAGGTGCTCAGTAGCACAACATTGAACAGGATGCTGCACAGGGTGCCAAAGTATGTGAGACGATGGCTTTCCATGCTAATAACCTCCAGGTTTGGCATCGAGCTGACCAGCACCTCATAGTTCTTTCCCAGCTCCTGGTATTTCATGTATTGCTTGTCCAAAATGTGCTGCAAGGTCAAGAAACCGGCTCGAATGTAATCGTCATCATCTGATAAAGAAGAACAAAGGTCGGGATCGTTAAACGAATACAAAGGGGTGATAATATAGATTATACCTTTCTGGTGATTAATTTCCTCGTCGTTCACGTATCGCTTCCTGGGCGAGATCCTCATCTGATTCGAGCTCAGGCTGTATCGAAACTTTCCGCCAGAACCACGGTTTGGCACTTGGTCAAAGTTGATGGCGAAGCAATTCGCCCGGCATTGCTGCTCCATGTCCAGCTGCATCTCGAAACTGTTGTTGTAGGCCTTAAGTCCTAAGGGAGAAATTTGTAATTAATATGATATATTTAAAGGTAAAATCTAGTAAAATCTTTTTATTTTTAGGTAATGAAAACTCCTATTTTTTAATAAGAATTTTACATAGTTTCTATTAATGGATATTTGAAAAGAAACCTAAGAGAGAAGGTTGTAATTAATATGATATATTTAAAGGTAACTTTTTAGATAATGGTTATAAAAATCAAGATGATAGTAACAATTCTTCACTTAAGATATGATATGAAAACATCTCTGGTAAAATCTTTTTATTTTAAGGTAATTAAAACTACTATTTTTAAATAATTTTAACAATTTTGCATAGTTTCTATTATTGGATATTTTTAACACATCAAATTGAAATTGCGCGTCTAATACTGTTATCTGTAACTCTTATCTACAGCGTCACCCCTTTGGTTACGACTTAGTTTTATGTGCTTGCTGGCATTAATGAATTTCTATAAATAAAATAGTTCAATAAGGAACTTCATTACACAAAAATATTATTTTTAATTTAAATGTTCAAATATATGCTCTAAATCATGAACAATCAACTTGTAATGATGTTATAATGACGTTATAAAATAAATAATGTACCAGATAATCTCTCTTTGAACTTACGCTCTGGTATGATCGCCAGATCCAACCGCAGGAGGTCCACAATGTCCTCGACATTCGAGGAGACTGGAGCATAGTAAATATAGTCAAATTCATTGCCGGGGAAGTACGTTTCTCTTAGTACCATCTAACAGAAGGGTGAGGATAATTAGATTAACGAACCAATGCGGTCATGGGTTTGTACTTGTTTATATAAAAATGCAGATAACACTATTGTAAATAGTGTACATCCGTTTGCGGTGATTTCGCACGTATACATTACTTCCAAGGGCATGCGATTTCATTCACATTCATATCAGCTCACCTCATTTTTGGGCTCAAACTCCTCCATTTGGTGCTGCACGGGCTTCGTTGACCAGTGGAGGTACGCAGTCAGGACTCCGCAGAATCCGATGCTGATGAAGAACAACGGCAGGAAGTTGCATCGCAAGTAGAGCAGATTCTTCCGAAGAAAGACAAAGAACAGTGGGCTGCAACTGCAGGCCATTTCTGATTCTACAGCAACTTTCCCCAACTTTTTCTTTTCAACTCTATTGTTGTTGTGACGAGGCGTCAACTTTTAGCTACGCTTGTGATGTGCTAAATGTTTATCGAAATATCTTCATGGCAACCGCACCCGCTATACAATTCCCCTCCTGGGAATCAGACATATATATGTATGTTTATATGGAACGAAAAAAGCGATTGTAAGTCCGATCAACAGGGCACCAATGACTGCATTGCAAATGTAAATATATATGTAGTTGCAAAGATTAAATTCGCAACCGATTCATCAGTGATGCCGATAGGTAGTAGAAATGTACTACTACCAAAGTATTAATTGAAAAATTATGTGATGTAAAATATCAATATTAAATTATACCAACATTAAAAATAAAGCGAGATTTTATGAAATTTATTTTAATTTTAGAAAAATGTTTTAAATAAACTAAATTTTAAATTTTAAAAAATTTTAAGTTTATTTTTAAATTAATTTCCTTAAGAATCTAATAAACTTATATTATATATTATTATATTTTTAATTGTTAAATTCCTAGCTATTAAATCTGACGTGAAAGTAGCCAAAGTGACACCACGCCTGCCGATATATCGATAGACCCCCGTTGCAACCGAAATTTCGTTTAACAAAACAATAACAATGAGCGGCTCGCAATTATTCCCCGTAAATCTGAACAATCTGACTGCCAAGGAGCGACACAACTATATCCTCAACCACTACGTGCTCAACTCGCCGGCGGAGGCGGAATCCCGTCGGCACAAGCGTGACATCGATGTGATACGCGAGAATCACCGCTTCCTTTGGGACGACGAGGAGGTGGACACCGATTCGCTCAGCTGGGAGCAGCGTCTGGCCCTGCGCTACTACAAGAAGCTGTTCAAGGAGTACTGCATAGCGGATCTGTCGCGCTACAAGGAGAACAAGATAGCCCTGCGCTGGCGAACGGAGCAGGAGGTGGTCACCGGCACGGGGCAGTTCCAGTGCAGCAGTCGCCACTGCGGCGAGCGGGAGAATCTGCGCAGCTGGGAGGTGAACTTCAAGTACATTGAAAAGGGGGCCCCTTTGAATGCGCTGGTTAAGGTAGGATCAATCTAATTACCATTATAAGTCCGACTAATAGGATAAATCTAATCTAAAGGTTCGCCTTTGCCCCACGCACACGGATCAGTTGAACTACCGCACCAAGAAGAAGGAGTACAAGAAGCAGCGACACCGGGAGAAGGAGGAACGAAGGGCTGAGCGGAAAAGAAAGCGTCGCAAAGTGGATGTCGAGCCGGAAAGTTCTACAGACAGCGAAGAGAAAGAGGAGACTGAGGAATCCCCGCCAGAAACCAACAAGGAGGAACCCACAACCAAAGACACCTCCGAACCCGACGAACAAATCTGGCAGCAACAGCCCGATCTCGGCCAGGAGCAGACCTCCAGGGAGCAGGAATTCGAGCGCTATCTAGAGGACTTGCTCTTTTAAAATACATAGCACATTTATTTGGATTCAACGTAGACACTAGTGCTCTTTTTATAGTTACTGGCCGCGAGATGCGTTCGCTTACGAGCTAGGATGTACAAGTACACTTTTACTTTCACATTTACAGGATTATTCACAAAGAGCTGCGTGTGTTAAAACCGACACCGAATCTAAAGTTGAACTGGACATTAAGGCTGTGACTGATTGATTGATTGTTTTGGAAACAACATTTCCGAATTGCTATTTTGTAATTTCTGTATTCATCGAATGCGCAGCGAATCGGAGGTTCGAAAATACATTACGCTTCGGTGGTCAAAAGCCAAAATTGTTTAAATCCCAGCCACTGAAGCGTGTCTAAATATAAATCGCCTCTAGAATAAATATCTCCGATTGTTTACACTCGACGAGTAGAGAAATCACGACTGAGCACATCCGCTTGAACTAGATCTAAATATATATAGCATCATTGATCGGACAGGACATTAGCTGCGGTTGGGACTACTGCTCCTTGGGCAGGAGCTCGGCGAAGGCGGGCGTGGGCTTGAAGGCCGTCACCTCGCTGAAGACCATCTCGCGCCACTTCTCCACCGGCAGCTCGTTCTCCTCGAAGCTCTGGTCGTACAAAGCGGCGGTCTGCTCGTCCGTGGGATCGTGGTACTTCTCCATATACGCATGGGCCAACGCCTGCTCGGCTGTGATCCGCTTGTCGGCGTCCAGTTCGAGCATCTTCTCCAGCAGATCGATGGCCAGCGGATTGGCGCCGCGAAAGATGTCGCGGAAATTGCGACGCGGCATCACCGGCAGCGAGCGGATGTAGTTACGGGCGCTCTCCGAGGAGATGCGGCTCATGAACTCGTCGGCCGGCGTGCCCAGCACCTCCATGATCAGATTCAACTGATGGATGTGATCGGTGCCCGGAAAGAGGGTGCGTCCCGTCAGCAGTTCGGCCATAATGCAGCCCACCGACCAGATGTCCACCGTCTGGTTGTAGTGCATCCAATTGAGCATGATCTCCGGGGCGCGATACCAACGCGTGGCCACGTACCCAGTCATTTCGCTCTCGGCGGGACGCGCCAGGCCAAAATCCAGGATGCGCAGCTCGCAATCCTCGTTGACCGCGATATTCGAGGGCTTCAGATCGCGATGAATGACCCCGGCACTGTGGATATACTTCAAACCACGCAGGATCTGGTAGACCAGAAACTGAACATGATCGTCGGACAGCTTCTGGGTGCGTATGATGTTGTTCAGATCGGCGTCCATCAGGTGGGTGACCATGTAGACCTGCTGAAACTGCTCCAGCGAATCGGCAGGCTGGCCAGGATGAAAGACGTCCAGCAGACCGATCACGTTCTCGTGATCCATGTGCTTCAGGAGACGCAACTCGCGGTAGGTGCGCTTGGCATGCACCGCCGACTGAAAGGGCCTGGCCAGCTTCTTGATGGCCACCTTGGTGCTCGTTCCACGGACAACGGCCTTGCAGACCTGCCCATAGGCTCCCTGGCCCACCGGCTGGAGGTTCTGGTACGTCTCCGGTATCTCCCACTCGGTGCGATTGATGTCCAGCTTGTAGAACTTGGCCATTTTGCGCGACATTTCTCGTTGGGATTGCTTTTGCTCAGGTGTTTTTTTTAATGTTGTTAATCCTCTGGCTCTAATTTCTGGCTGCTCTTCTTCTTGCTCGTGGGATTTGTTATCTCAATTTCACACTGCGCGGCCTCAACATTGCTGCAAATGAGTAATCGTTAAGGGGGGAGGTGTTAGTGGTAACTAAAGTTGAGTTTTGGGTTTTAATGGAATAAGATTCTTTTGTATCTCCCCGAATAACTACTTACATCTTTGGGATCTTATTTATGCTAATACACTTTTCTGATTGGACAACAACGCTGCCTTTGCTATCGATAACCGCATTTGGGGCCGATTGCCAGTCAGCTGCTGCTCATTTATGCGTTAACATGACGGTTTTAAGCTTTTTCCCTGCCAAATTTAAGGTCCATCGGGTTAACGGGTTAATTTGCGTAGCTCCTGCGTAGTATCGTTTAAAACTGAAGTCTTTGCTCCTTAAAGTATATCTTAAAGATTTGTTTTGGGTCTACCTATTGGTTTCGTAGTTTTAAGGCTTATTGCGAATATTTTTTTATTTTCTTACTTTCAAGTTAATTAGGGGCGGTTCACATTTGTATGGAAATTTGTAAGGTCCTACTCCCACCCGCTTATACGGTGCGCATTGTGCTATTGAAGGTATACCAAAAGAAAATTTTTGAAAAAATCGTGTTTTAGGGTCTGCGAATTGGCTTCACAGTTTATCACCTATACGCACTGTTGCCTTCGATCAAAAAGTTTTTCTAATCAAGGTGACAATTCAGTTGATGTTTCGCTCTCCCTTTCTTATTAATTATTCCAACGAAATTCATAATTTGATAAGACAAGAAATGGGAGAACGATATTTTTCGACCAAAATCGAACTGTTATACGTGTCGTATGAGTAATTTTAAAGCAAACTTTGAGAACGTTTCGCAAGGTCTAAATCACGAAACTAAACCATTTACCATTTCGTAACTTAATTATTCTAAAATAGTCCCTGGCCTTAAATATTGTATTTGATTAAAAAATCAAAGAATTGTATATCTCCATTTTTAAATTTTCTTAAATCCTTAAACTATTATATTTGATTAAAAATAAAAGATTTGTATGTTTTGTTTTCAAAACTTAAGTAAATTCAATTATTTCATCGAATTCTTATTGTAAATTCCTTATAAAGTGGGTTGTTCTTTCATACGACCCCCAACCTGGAAGACCATTAACTAGTCGACCATGGAAAATAACCAACTTTTGAGGCCTAACATACCCCAGTAACAGGAGGCGGTCAGTTGGCGTAAGCTGGTTTAGTTTCAATCGGTCGGTCGTTGGCGCTACATCCAAAGTCCGGATTGCGACGCTCTTTCCTCGAACGTTTTTTGCACGAGTTTTTTCCATACGTATTTGTTCATTGACAAAAACTCAAGCTGCGTTCTGTGCGTGCGTGTGTGTGCCGTGCGAGTGTGTGTGTATGAAAGCCCGCTTGTGTGAGTGCGGTGCTTTGTGTGCAGAATAATTTTTGCAAACATTATGTAAATGCGCAAATTAAAGTTCAATCGACGACAATTTTCGAGTCCAAAACCAGATCGCCTTGCTTTAAGTGCCACGAAGCAACAGTTTTTATTTTTTTGGGAAAGTAACACCCCAATAAACACTCCCCAAACACCCACATAATTCGCAGGATCGGAAAAACGATCCACCGGATATACCTTTACCGTTACGAAAAATCCAAAATGGCCACGACAGCGGCCGCAATGGCTGCTACAAGTGTTGTTGTACTAGATCGCGGCAACAATACTACCTGTACCATCAACTTGCACGGTGAGCAAATCAAAAGAAAAACGAAAATACAAAAATAAGGAAAAAAAAAACAAACCCCCAATTAATCATAATTAACGAAAACAACAGTTTTTGCAGTCTTTGCCAAAAAATTTGGTGGCGTTATTTTTAGCGGATGATTGGCTTAGACTTTCATTCCTTGGGAGTTTCCGAAACCGAAACCCGTTTCGCCCCCTAAATCGATGTATTTGCGACCTCTGGAGGTTATCACAGTGTTCTCAAAACAACCTTGTTGGTTACCTTTCGGTGCTACAGAGCTTTCGGCTATCTTATCAGTTAGGATCGGGACGGCACTTCAACGTTATAGGGGGGGTTTTTGTATATACGATCGGTTCGGTTTTTGGACCAGCTTAGAGCGGAGCTCCCTTCTGCCTACTCGCAGCACATTTCGATTAGGCGTTATATATATACGTACGGTATTATATTTGTATATACAGGCCCCTCTCTATGAGCACCTATGTGTGTTGGTACCCAGCGTACTTTCAACAATTACGACTGCCTGTGTCTGGCCTGCCCACGTTAGTTTCCAAGTCGCAGCCGTTTGAGCAACAGTCAGACAGTCAGAGACACAACAGCGTTTGGCACAGACAGCGGATCGTACACAAAAAAAATAATGTTTGAGCAAAATAAAAACTGCGAACAGATCGTTTTTATAAGGTAGTGCCGAAAAATCGATATAAAAATCATTGAAATCGTTGTTTTTTGTAGAAACTTCTTTTATAAATATACAATATTAAAAAGTAGCTGAATGAATTATTCTATAGTGTCTAAGGTTCAAACAGCACCCTAAAAAAGTTTTTTTTTTTTTTAAATTTTAATTGGAATCCATTAAGCTTAAGTAAATAGACAAAATAGACTGGATTTGGCTCGCTACTATTAAATCAAATAAAATATTTTCCTTTAGGATATTTATATACTTTTGTTCTCAGTGCATCTTATCACATGTAATTCGAGCGATGTTAATTACAAGTTTTCCAGTGCGCTTAAACTAAACTTTACATGAAGTGTTTCCAATCATAGTAATCAAAGTATCAGAGAGTTGAGGTTCTTCTTTTTGGGGCCAACTGAACGAGATTTTGGGAACAGCAGCAGCAGCAGCGGCAGCTCCTCCCACGCATCCAAGTGCTCACCCACCCATTGGCCGTAGGCCATCGTCATGCCCAGATCCATAGCCATAACCATACCCATATCCCAGTATTCAGTATTTAACTGTACCAGAGATTCGGTCTCAGCCAGTTTACTTACAGGCCAGTTATTTTACTTACTGGCTCACTACGATTGCGATTGTGTGCGTTGGTCATGTGGGTTAGAAGTGTGTGCGTCATGTACTTGGCTTTGCCGATTGTTGTTGTGTAATTCCCACAGTTGATCCAGCTTCAAATTCATTCATCGATGTACAAGTTCAGAAGATACGGCGTCTGCTTCAGGTTTTCCTTATTAATCAAACGCCAGATTAAGCATTAGATCGAGCAAAATAATATCGTAAAATAAAATAAAATCAATTAAGAGGATCTTTAATGATAATATTCCAATTTATCATAAATATAGATTTATTTGTTTCCCATCCAAATAATGATTTGCCTAACTCCTGACTAAATTTAAATTTATTTTCTGTTCACCAGAGCATTACCTTACATGAAATAATCTTTTCGACCAGGTCAAATTTACCTGGCCCCATATTAAATTAAAATTGATCTTAAATAATGTAAAATAAATCTACGTTTCATATCGATTTTTTTTTTTGGGTGTACTAGATCGTTGAATTTTTTAATCCAACTTTATAACTTTAAGCTTGGTATTATAAGCATAATCTATCCGTATATCATTGGATTTACTTCTGTACTATTACACACTTTTTGCAAATATTTTGTTGAATGAAGCCAATTATTTGCCTCCCTTCTGTTTGCAGGTGCCACGGTCGTGTCCTGGCGGGTAAACAATCAGGAGCAGTTGTTTGTCAGGTGAGTGGACCGAACTTTGCCTTAGCACCCTTTAAACATCGCTCATACGCTACGTTGGCCGAACTTTAAGCCCGAACTTACGCAAGCCCACGGTGAGCTGTGCGTTGGTTTGGTTGGTCATGCAACCAAAAAAGTGATTCGCAAAGTTTCCCAGTGGCGGAGAGGGGAGAGCAGGGGGGTCATCCAGTGGGGAGGGGAAGCAGGAGCAAAAGCAGCCTTAGCCATTCTGTTTGGCGGCAAAATGTTTTTGTATGACACCCAACTAAAAAACACGTCGGGACCGAAACGTCGAACCAGCGAACCGAACCAAAAGCGACCGAATGGCAAAAACACAAAAACAGAAAAACACAGGGGCGTAGAGGGGGTCGGGAATACCCCCTCTCGGCGGTTAGGAGCCGTTGCACTTGCACCAAGAGGAGCTGCCTCCATTGATGGCCGTTTTTTTCGCCCTGTTGCTGCCTACTCCTGTTCTCTGTTTCTGTTCTGTTCTGTTCGGGCTTCCCCTACTTTAACCCCCCCCTTTTTGTGGCAAAACAATGTGCAAGTTTTTATGAATGGAGTTTTTGGCGCGGCCAGCTAGATCGATAAATCCCCACTACATGGGGAGCCCACCAACCACTCTGCACAGTGGTTCTCGGCCCATTCGACTTTGGACCAACTTTCCCGGGTTCTTGGCCAGCTCCCACACAAACACCAGTGCGAAGTGCAATTCGAGTGTGTTGGCCCCTTGTCGGCGCTCCTAACTTCTTTTTTGTTTCGTCTGCCGGAAAGTTTTCGACGGTTTTTGTGGCAACCAGTCATTCGGCATTCGGAAACCCACTAAAAACTGGCAGTGGTCACGGATAAAGCGAGCAAGAGCAGAACTAAATTAATTATTTCACTGCTTTAAGTAACTTTATTTCGAAATAAACGTTGGGGTAAACTCACTTACTAAAAAGGATTCAAAATATTTAATAATTGTTGATCCTTTTTAGTAAAATACCCCTAAATATAGTTTTTGATAATGCTAAATTCCGTATTCCGCTTTAATTACTGTGGACAGCCATCCACGTAATGACGAAGTGCACCAGAAGAGTTTTATTTATTAAAACAATTATAATAACAAAATATTTATTTATTTATATAGAGCAAACTAAAAGTTAAAACTATAAGCAAACTAAGAATTAAGAGCTCTAGCAGCTAAGGCCTTTAGCTCGTCTAAGGTGTTGAATTAGATACATTTTAATTTTTATTATTTGAATTTAGATTTTCAGCTTAATTTGGGTTTTTTCAAGGTGTCGACTTAGAATAACAATTTAACTTTATTGTAAACTTAATAATGAAACTAAATTCCACGCAGTAAATTCCAGGGGAGTGTTTTTTATTAAAACCAAAATTAATTACAAAAAATATTTCATTAAACTTTATTGAAAACTTTATGATTTAACTAAATCCTTAAAAATGTTTTAAAGCTCTGTAATCAAAATAAATTATTAATACGCTATAAAAATGAAAGTTGTTGATAAAATTATTATAAATTTTTATATTTGTTATAGTTTTCTTCAAAGAAGTTTGAATTTCCATTTGTTCTACAGACTTATTACCCATTTATATTGTAAATGATTATATTTGAGAACTATTTAATGTTTTATCGTCAAATCCCGAATTGAAAACTCTGCAATATTAATGAAGTTCGGCATGTCAAATGCGTTCCACAGCTAAAAGCGTTTACAAATGATGCACAGTAAGTTGGGGAGAAACGGAATCAGCAGCTTAGGTAGATCCATGGGGCAGAAGGAGTTGCTTGATGGATGCGTCGGCAAATTAGCTGAGACGAAACCCAAGGCAAGTCCCAACTCGGGGCAACGTCATCCTCAGCGACAGGAGAAAAACAAAATACCCAACCAAAAAAGAAAAAAAGGGGCAAGGAGCATTTTGCCAGACACTTTTTTCTGCTAATAGCATTTCTGAATTTCTGAATGTCTGTCTCAGTCGTCTGCAAGCGTTTTTATGGCTGGCATATTTTCGAGTAGCGTCCAACCGAATTAATCGAGTCGTTTCTCTATACAAGCATCTTTCTTTTTCTCCCTTAGCAAACTGGCCTCGTTCGATGGCAAGAAGGCGATACGTGGCGGGATTCCCTTTGTCTTTCGTAAGTTTACCAAAATCCAGGAGCTTAGCCCCATGATAAGCTAATGTTTTACCCCATTTACAGCTCAGTTCGGTGCCTGGTCCTTCGGACCTCAGCATGGATTTGCGAGGATTACCAGGTGGCATTTGGAGAGACCTCCGGACAGGCTGCACAATGGCGATGTCGAGGCTATATTCTCACTGATGGACAACGACTTTACGCGATCTATATGGAACTATCAGTAAGTTTTGACATTTTGGGATCCAAAAATTAAATATATCAAATATAATAAAATAAATCATTATTTTAAAATTTCTAAATACTTTAATTGTATTTTTTCTATTTCTTATAAATATCGGTAATGTTGTGAGATTTTAGGATTTGTAGATTGTAGATCAGTAAATACTATAATTGTATTCCTTCTATTTCTTAAAAATATCGGTAATGTTGTGAGATTTTAGGATTTGTAGATTGTAGATTCGTAAACTATTTATATAAAAATAAATATAAAAATCTCAAAGGATCCCTTAATTAACTGCATTTCCCTTGAAGGTTCCGCATCACCTACCGGCTGATCCTGCGCGAAAAGGAGCTACACTTTCACATCGGCGTCTACAATCCCAGCAAGGAGCTGAGCTTCACCTTCAACATGCTGCTGCACACCTACCTAAAGGTGCCCGATGTTCGCCGGTGTCAGATCACTGGTCTCCAGGGCTGCCACTTCATCGACAAGACGCGGGAGAATGCGTTGTACCAGGAGGGCCGAGAGGTGGTAACCGTCAACGAGTGGACCGACCGGATCTACCAGCACACACCGCAGGAGCACGTCATCACCAACGTGGTTTCCGGCCGCAAGATGAGACTGCACAAGTACAATTTTCCCGACACGGGTGAGTAAATAAATGTTTGGACTTTAAAATAGTAAAGCTTCTAACTGATTGTTAATACTACACTCATAAAATTTCTAGAGTTAATGGCGAAACTCAAGAAAAAAGTCCGGAGAATATCGCCATTAATTCAAGAAAATATCGCCATTAATCCAAGAAAAAATTTAACGAATCTTCTCATTTTATTAAAAAAAATAATAGCAAATTTCCATAAACATAAGAAAATTTTTCTACAATCAAGAAAAATTTTCCTAATTCAAAGGCGCTTTAAAATCACGGACGGTTTTCTATAATTAAGGGCGATTTTTTTCTGAGTGTAAATGTATTTTAATTTGGTTTAATAAAGAAAATATATATATTTAACTCTTTTTAGTCATCTGGAATCCCTGGATCGATCGATCGCGTGAGATGAGTGACTTCGGGGACGACGAGTTCCCCAACATGTTGTGCGTGGAGGCGGGCAACGTGACCTCGCCCGTCATCCTGCTGCCGGGCACCGCCTTCGAGGCCAGCCAGATCCTTCAGGTAGAGCAGTCGGTGCTGGAGTAACCCCAATCTAACTCCCATCCTAACAACCAGCCCTGTTCCCCCCTCCCACCAGAACTTCAAGTGTCCCTATACCATAAACTCATCCAACTGGAAAAGCAAACTAACCGATTTCATACAATACGAATAGAGCCGCTGTTCCCATCTCCATTATCCAATTCAAACTCTTTACTTTGCATGCTATCGCTATCAGATCATCATCGAGGGCAATGTTAGTCGCAAGACCAAGCGGAATCGCTAGCGTTTAAAGAATCGGAACCCGATGAGGTAAACCGATTCGCAACCACGTCAAAGCGCACTTTTCCACAGAGATCCAGGATCGTCGTGAGGAGGAGAAGGAGGATCAGGATGAATCTAAACTATTTCATAAGTAATCTTAAATCCCTCTCTAGCAATATGTGTTGTGCAAAGAATGATAAAGGAATGTAATACCTAATAACTTCGTTAAACATCCTAAGTTTGTGCCTACTTGGAACTGTTTTTAAATCGGTCGATGAGCAGTTTCTATATTCCTAGCCAGCCTAATATAAAATGTGCATTGTAGTAATTTAGTCAGGTTTTATGGAGCAGGAAGTACTTAGCATCTTCTTGCCAAACTTATAACGATCCCTTTTAAAGTAGCATTAAACTTGTGTTACTGAAAAAGTTATCTTCGTTCATTGTGATGACCTCACTTTTTGCTTAGAGATCTTACTTATTCAGCAAAAATAGATGAACCTAACTAATGAATAATGGACATTAGTTGCATATGATAAACGTGTATACGATTGAATATAGATAACTTACATAACGTTTTAAAACTAATATGTGTAAAATACTAAAATCAATTATCTGTACCAATTAATTTAATAATCTATGCAAATAAATGTAATTGTAACTAAGAAACACAAGTGTTTTTCTGTATATTAATAAAAATATTATGTTATATATATATTAATCCCAAGCAAAGACCTCCTCCTCTTCACCACCTTCGATGTCGATCCATTCGCGTTGCTCCTTGATTAACTTATCAAATGGAATGTAGTTGACGAACAACCAATAAATCGTCATGCTGATGTTGGACATTAAACGGGCTTTTACAGTCATTCTCTTTTCCTAAGGAGAAAATGTGGTTAGTTCTAGTATTTATCGAAAAAGTAGAGCTTACTTTCTGGCTTATATAAGTTCCGGTGCTTAAGAAAAGTAGACAAGAGATGACGAAAATTATTATCAATAGAGTATGGAAAACGCGATACATTTTTATGATTTGGCGATCTAGTCTGAGGCAGAACATAAATGCAACTGAGCTGAAAACTTAAAGTCGTCGATCGAGAAAGGGCGCTCGCTTTCCTGTTAAGAAACCTACACTCACAGGTGTCGTACATTAAGCTTAGTTTATTTATTTTTTGTTTGTTTTATATCAGTTGCTTAGATTAGATTCTTTACATACATATATAAATTAGGCATTTCTAGATTGATTCTAAAACGCAACGCTCTCGCAAATCGAGCCACTGTTTTGTCGTGTTTTGACTTAGTAAGTGGTTACTCAATGGGTGCTCTTTGAAGCTGGGACAAGAAGGGGGAAGTTAGCTCACATGGCTGAGTCGTCGAGTTTTTTTAGTTTGTTTTGATTTTCGCAGCTGGCCGAGACTTGGTACAGTTGCTCTATAAATATATATTTATACGATCGAATGATATTGCAAGGATAGTTTGGTGTACAGCGTGACGAGTGGTTGACACAGCTTAGTCGATCTTCACAGCTCCGTAGATTCTCAGAATGAAAACGTAGGCGGCGAAGAAGCCAATCGAGCCGGTTAGCAGCCAGAAAGTAAGCACCATGAGGCCTGTATTTGAAAAAGAGTGTCTAAATAAGAGAAACTATGGGTTATAAGCAACTAACTCACCCGTGTAGCCCAAGTAGAGCAGCGTAGGTATAAACTCGGTGATCTCCAGCTTGGTGAAAAAGTAGAAAATGCTATAGAAAAGCACATAAACGGCTGAGCCGCCAGAAACTATAAAGCTGCGCCACCACCAGCGGTAGTCCTGTAATCAAACGAAAATAAATGAATTTCTATTCTGAAAAAGTGACCTAAAGCAGTCTCACCTCGCCACAAAGCTGGAAATATGTCATGACTATGGAGATCTGGGCACAGCTAACAACCAAGATGCAAAACACCAAGAACAGAAAGCCGAAGAGGTAATAGAACTGATTCTGCCAGATGGCGGTGAACACAAAGAAGAGTTCAATAAAGACGGCGCCAAAGGGCAAAATGCCGGCCATCAGAGTGCTAAAAAAAAAAGAGGCGGTTGATTAACAAATTGGGATGCAGTAAATGCAGACATTTGCTCACCTCAGGACCGCATTCATGTACCAATGCTGCGTGGGCACTTGCCGCGGAATCATGTTGGTGCGCACTGGATGCTGATACGGCTGCTTGCGGTAGCCCAGATAGAAACCCAGGTAGACCAGCGGCACAGAGATGCCGAACCAGAGCAGCAGCAGCGAGATCATGGTGGTAAAGGGCACGGCACCGCTGGAGGACTTGTCCCAGATGAAGAAGTTCAAAAAGAATCCAGTGCTGCGGGTTAATAAATACAATTTAAGATATATATTTGATATAACTTAGCTTTTAACTCACCCAAAGACAATGCCCGGATAGAGAGTGGCGGTTAGGAAGGCCGCTCGCTTCCATTCGCGACCCTTCATGGTCTTGTAAAGCCGCGCCGCATAGTATCCCGCAATGGTGCCCATGAAGACGTACATAAAGATGCCCGAGGTCATGAGGGCACCTCGCGACGAAGGCGACAGCATGCCCAGCATGGCGAAGAAGATGGTGATCAAAGCCATGAAGAAGATCTGAATGCCGCTGCCAATAATCGCAGAAAACAACCTAGTATTCTTGGGCGGACGGAAGACATCGCCGTGCACCAGCTTCCAGCCGGTCTCCTCCAGCGTATCCTCAATATTGTCATCCGTATTGTAGCGGGCAATATCCCTTCGCAGAGTGCGAATCATGATCATGGTGAGAATGCCCGAGAGGAAGAACACCACCACCAGCGAGTTGATGATGCTGAACCAATGGATCTGCACGTCGCGCATGCCCAGATAGATGTCCCACCGCGAGGCCCAGCTCACCCGGGACTCCTTCCACTCCACGGAGTACGTGAAATACAGCTGCGTTTCCCCATTCGGATTGACCAGCTGTGGCCTTGCGCTATCGGGGAAATTGCAGGTGTCGCCGTGGAACTTGAGCTCCTTGTGACTGACCGAAACCGTCTCCACCTCGAAGCCAACCACGCGGTACTTGTCCTTGGAGTGCATGTGATATGAGAGGATGAACTTCAGGTGGTTGTTGATGTAGATGTTGTCCCCGTCCACCTGACCCAGTCGATAGCCATGCTCGTAGGTCACTTCGTTGGGATTGTTGACGCTGACAATGCGCGTAGCCACCGGCAGATTGTCCACGAGGAGATGGACAAAATACTCATGCTGGATGCGCTCAGCCACCAGAGCAGAGTCCTCCTTGCTCCAGGTGAGCGGCCTGTCCTTCTGGTTGCACAGCAGCCGGCAGTTGACCTGCTGGTTCATCCGCACCTCATAAGGCGTATTAACGATCCGGTCGCCGCGCAGCACTTCGCCTAGGTTCTCCGACTTGAAGATCAGAGTGCCATTCTTGGGATAGCAGAACTTCAGGGAGTAGTACTGATAGGGCAGCTGGGTGCGGCTGCTGGTCATCTTCACCGCCTTCACGTCGATCTTCTGGTCCTGGACAAACTCGACCGGCGCCACGCCGGGCACGTAGAAGCAGTCGGCCACCAGGACGAGGCCCACCAGCAGGAGCAGAGCCTCGGACTGAAAAATAGAGAGAGTAGTAACTAGTAATCCCAAATCCCATCCTGTTTAATAATCCAAATGCTAACGTGTCCCTCTGCCAACGTAAGCAGCCTGGGGAGCTCACCTGCATGGCTGGACGCGTTTGGGGTTGCTGGCGCAGGTAATCACTGGATCCTTATCGATTCTATATCCAACTATATATTTCGGTGTTTTTGTCCGACCACCGAATATACGCTATGTTGATTTGATTTGTAAAAAGAGGAAAAGGTCCTAAAATAGGATGTGGTATTTTTGGCAGTATATAAATACCGGAAAATCCCTGCGAAAAAGTCCTAATTTTTCCTTATTTTTCGATTTCTAAAAATAAAAATATCAGTATATCGATAGTTGTAGAGATTTGTATATTTATACATATATATTGTAAACGGTACTTTTAATACTGGTATGGTATATATACCGTATTTTTTTAATACATATATCAAAATTAAAAAAAAAAAAATTATTCGCATTAAAATTTTAAAATTCGGTTGTTGTTCATGGCGGGAAATTATTAGAAAAGATAAGCTTTTAAAATACCAAAAAAATACCCAAAGTTACCTATGTCTGTCCCGCTTGCACTTTTGTACCGCGGAAGTAGCGGACAAAACAAACCCGTAAAAGTTTCATTATTAATAAAATAGGTAAAACGAAGTACACGCTGAAAAAGGATGGGATAAAATTAAAAGGGCATTCTAATGAAAATAATGAGTTTGGACAAATGCTCCTCCTCTTTGGTAAGTTCAAATTGTAAATGTAAATTGTAAATATTAAAGATTTTGTCCCTTAGCACCCGATCAAAAGAAGAGAAAGATAGATGAGAAGGCAGAGAAGGAGAAGGAAAATTTGGACAAGGAGAATTTGGACAAGGAGAATTATCAGGTGGAGGGCGTGCAGCAGGTTGAGGACTCTCAAAACATTCCTCCTATGGATTTTGAGATTCAGGAAGTTGAGCAGGACCAGGAGAAGGAGGAGGAGAAGAAGGAGGACGAGAAGAAGAAGAAAGAAGATGATATTTCTAGGCATCTATATAAAAAGAGAGCAGAGCGGGAGCTGCAAACTGGGACACCAGTGCACAGTGGTGGCGCCCATAGGCCAAAATTCAAAAAATCGACGGAACCTAAAATGGGCCAAGGGTATGCAACTTTTCTCTAAAATGCCCAAGCTTTTTCGTGGCATACCAGACATTTCTGGAAAAATATCAGTACCTTCTAAAAATCGACCTAAAGTCGTGAGCACGTGTTAAGTAGCAAAGCAAAACTGGGCGCATCACTAATTTTTCGCAGCAACATTAAACTTTGAAACCGTGTATTTCTTATATTTCGTGTCCAAATTAATATTCTGTGATATGGATTTTAAAGTTGAAGGTATTATCTATAAGTCGAGATGTGTATAATAATCGTACTTGTTAAATTGTTTTCGTTACATCAATTTGAAATAATACATGTTTTGTGTCTATTT